TTCTTATCGATGGACCCAGGGTTATAATTCTGCTAAACATGTTTCATACTTTCGTCTGTGGGCAAGAATTGTGACAGATAAACCTGTTATTCGGTTCAAAGTGTCAGATTCCAAAGTTTTGGGGAGTTGTTTGGAGGCTGGCTGGCTGCATTCCCTCTGGCCAGTAGTAGTTTAAAATTAGGAACGGCTATATTTGAATCCTAAGGATCTATAAAATGGTAATGTAACCCACGAGCGCATAAGATGCCTTTCAGGTTGAAAGTTCTAATTGATTCACACTCTGAGCATTGTCTATTGTAACAGATTAAATAAAGCAGTAATGTATGGAAATGCAACCCTATTCTAAACTAAGGACTCCACGATATTATGTATAATGTTTAGAAAGTAAAATCCCTAGATTTTTTGTTTGATCTACTGTAACAACAGAATGTATGAATGATAGTAACAAGGAACACGTTGAATAAAAATTAGATACATCGATATGAAACCTTTTATTAGAAAGATATAAATCAAATTTACAGCCAGTATACGGAAAACTTGATGAATGTATATCTTGTTTGTTTTGTTTTATAACTCTATGATATGTGGAAATAATAACTTAATGTTTAGTTAATTATTATAAGAATGAAGACAAAATGTATCCATACTAGTAGTAAGGGGGATAAAACAATTTGATATTTCGAGAAACTTCATCTAAGTTAACCTTTGAAGAGAAATTTCTCGACTTATCAAGTTTTAATATTATTTTTTGTGTAATCCAAATAAGATTGTTTATACGGGAGTCTTCTATTTCTAATGGTTGTCATTTATCCAGAACTAAAGTCTATGTTAAATAATAAGGTACCGTAGCTAATATTTGTTATGTTAGCTAGTAATGTTAAAAAATGGTTGAACAAAAATAAGATTGTGTTTTTAGTAATAAAAAATTACTTATTTATTTTTATATTTCTGAAATTATTAGAAAAGTATTTTGCCCTTAATTATTAAATAACTTTTTGTGTTTTCCAGTTTTTGTGTAACAATGAGCAAAATTTATTTTTCTTAAAAAGTTATGTTTTTTATACCTGGATTTATCTTAAACAGGAAGACTTGCAGGACTACTGATCGGAATGCTGATTCTTGGAGCTTTTATTGGAGCATGTGCATTTCTCCTATTTTCTTATTATAAGTCTCATAAGGCCCAAGAAGGACCGAAAGTTAAATTCATGAATAGTAGTGAAACAGAAACATGAAATTTTACATCCACAACGTTTTCATATCACGACGTTCCTTCCTAGTCTATTATACAACGTTAAGTTTTATTTTGTGGTTTCGAAGAACGTTAGATGTCAATATATAGGGCAAAAACAAATTTCACTCTTATTCCTCTGAGGATAATTTTTTCGTTGTAAGCTTAAATTTTTCAGTAAAAGAATGTAACTCTTTTGTAAGTAATAGCAATTGAATATGCGTGTCAATTTGATATGAAATTCAAGAAAAAAACAAACATACAAGTATAGAATATTTTCTTGGCTATCACCAATTATTAACCACAGAAAATTTCATTTTTTGATTTATTCTATATTAAAAAAGCTAAACTTCCATCTCATGTCTCTTGTCATCTATAACTTGAAAACTGCTGTTGAAATGAATAATGTTAACACTGTTTTGGGATATAATAATAAAACCATATCTTCGTTTCTCTTTCTATATTATTTATTCATAGAACTTTACAATAATCGAGACCTGAAAATAAAATATTATAATGTATTTGATTTCTGTTTTCACTTAATTTCTAATTCTACGTTGTGCTTAAATGATATGGAAAATCGATGTCGCCTAAAAATGATTTAATGAACATATAATTGTGGAGTAATTACATTTTTAACGATGTAATTTTTTCTTTATTTTATTTTTAAGAATATAGTTCCCTAGAGTAAACAGTTACTTCTTGTATACAAGTTTTAATGCCATCCTTCGCAAAGTGCAAGATTTTCCACTAGGTGACTATACATTATAATAACAAATCGCACGCCAATAAAACCTCGAAATACGTCAAATACATATTATCTTTGTTTGTTTGTTGTTCAGCACATAGCTTCACAATGAGCCATTTGTGCTGTGCCCAAAACACGAGTATCGAAACTCTCTTTTTAACAGTGTGAACCCTCAAGCTTACCGCTAGGCCAATGGGGGGCGTCAAATATAATTTAGCATGTTTGGCACTTGAATCTAACAAGTTTTTCATAATGATAAGAGATACACAGATAAATGTAAATGAGGTAGATGAACTCGGGGTGAACCTCAATAAATGAATTTAAACGGGTAACCAATCAGACGGACGAATGGAGTAGCCATTAATACTTTTTACAACGTGATATCGACGCCAAATAAAAATCCCGAGTGTAGTACGGGTACCTTTCCTACCCTTGTTCATTAGATCAACATGATGAATAACGTACACCGTCCCCACAAGACAATGAAATAAATGAAGCGAAAGTGCTAACAATTAGTATTCTACAATTGAAGTGTTAACCTTTTAAGCAAAACATCCTAACTAATTATTTTGTCATAGTTTTAAAGTGTTATATATATATAGTTAATTAGGTAAAAGTTAAGCTCTTTATTTTTTACGTATTCTGTGATATCATATTTCTATATAAATATTCTTATCAATCTTTTCCATCTAAGTTTATTATATTATTATGTTTACACTAATAAAACTAGAGTAATATTTTTTTTTTACTACATGACTGTAAATGATAGTAGCAAGAAGTACGTCACATATTGAAATGTGTGACATCACATTTCTTTTCCTTCTACACAGTATTTATAAATGGTACTGATTAATGAAAAGTATTGGATACATTGCTTCAATCTACATCTAAGCTAGAAATGGTTTTTGCTTTAAGATGAAATTGGATAATGTTTCAGATTGTTAGGAGAGTTATAAATTCATTATACTTATTAACAATATTTTCGACAAATGCAACAATAGAAACATCAATGGAAAGGGACTCATGTATGTTTGTTCTTAAACATAATAACATATGTATTTGAAGAATATATTTCATATCCTAGTTCTCTGACCGAAGAGGAAAACAAATTTTGGAATTTAGCGTGAAATGGGAATTCCTTGAATTTTTTAATCAAATAGGCAGCAAAAAATTGTATAACACCTATTAACCCTATCAGAAGGCAAACCAATACCATTTAGAACAACTCTTTGATGCTATCAGACAGGTTTGTGGAGTAAAAAAAAATCTTTCTCGTGTTTGTTTCAAGATGTCTATCGCAAACTGTTGGAAAAACTGGTTCTATAGGGAGGGCATGTCAATCTTTGAAAAGGAAAAATATGTAATAGTTTCTGTGTGTGAAAATGTGAACCACAATACTCGTGCAAGTTTCGTACAAAACTATTATATTGTATATCTTTCTTTAGAATGTTCATCAAATATACTTTTGGAATGCAATAAGCATATTTAGACTTGCATTAGCGGCTACGTTGTGAAAACATTTTTGAGTCTAATACAATGTAAAATGTGTCAAAATGCTATAATTGGTTAAGAAAATTTACTCATTTTAAATCAGTATTGTATTAGCACAGTATTTCTAAGCTATTATCATTATAACAGTTTTGACTATTTCGAATTTTATTTTTAATAACTAAAAACGCAGGAACGGTTACAACTTAATGGTTTTGTAGAGATGAGATAGGAGGCAGTTTTAATCAAATATTTGTTATTATGTATCGTAATGTGGTTGTTCAGAATAAAGATTTAGAAAAATGTTTCGATATTATGATACTTACAGTTTAGTCACAAAGATCAGTTTCACCATTCAATCGCCAATTTCTCATGCATGAAAGTATTGATTTAGATTAAATGAGCAAAAACTGTAATAAAAAGTATTCATCACAGTGAAAAATAACACTTGAACTGACATTTAAAATGTTAGCGACGTGACTGTTTAAAAAAGTTGGCGTACTATTAACTTTTGGCGTTGAAAAATTAACAAAAGTTAATTTTTAAGTTTTTTTATTTTTTACAATTTCGTCATCACTATTTGATATGTTGCCAAAACTTAATAAGGTACGAATAAAAATGTTAATTTACTGATACATTTTAGATAACGAACAAAATATCTTTAGTGCAGTTCAAGAAAATTTAAATTTCGCTAAAAGTCTCGTGATTAGCCATCTCGTGTTTCCTGGTCAATAGTTTATGACCATTATATTCAGTGCTTCCATAATTATTTCTAAAACTTTATAAACAATCAGTTTGCGTCCCCTGTTATTAGTCTTTGTAACATCCTCACATTTCTACCAATAGCTTGCTTTTGCCTGAGAATTAATACTTCATGTTTTCATTCTACAAGTATGATGTAAACCTAAAGACATGACTTGTAATCGATGTGAAGGGTAACATATAATATTTATGTTAGGATTAATAGTTTTCCAAATCTAAACTATCTACAGAAAATCTTGCATCATAATCCATCCGTTCATTAAGCTTTATCCTCGTTGTCCTGATTAATTATCTATTTGGAAAATAGTAAAGGAAATGGTTATTATTAGACTCAAATTATGGATGCTGACTAATGTACACAAGATGTTGTATATTAATATCGTTATTCATTTTTCAAGTTATGTCAGCTTTGTTTCAGCTAAATACTCAACTTTATACAATGCATTTGTTTACGTTAATGGAAATTAGTTTAATGTAAGTCAAATCCACCATACGTTTAAATGCTTCATGTAAAAAGACACTAGACTGGCGTATTTGAAACTGTTTTCATTTTGATTCTTGAAAAACCTGGCGTAAAAAAGCTAATCTTAGAATTTTATCTATCCATATAACAATCATCTCAAATGTTCGTTTTCCTTGAATCATAATTTGTTCTACATATGGATAACTGTTTTTTCAGTCGAAAAGTCAAATAAGTAAATTTTCTTCATTTTTTATATAATTGGAAATCTTCATTCACCTTAGGAGAAACTAACACATTTTAATTGGTAATTGTATGTTTTCTAAAAAATGTTTTTTATTACAGTAAGGACAGAACAAAATATTTATTCAATATAAAAGTCATACTGCTGACATTGGCAATACAGCTTGTATCTTCGTCGTCTGGTTGAGTTTACTAGGATTATGTACGGGATGTTTTTAGTTGCGGCATAGCGACTCTGAGTGTTTTATTTTATTTTGTTTTATTTTTTCAAGTACAAACTTTTAGCTCATAGTTCCGTCATCTCTTGGATGGTTTGAGATCTAATTACAATTTTGTACTCAGGAGGTCCAACCCTCATACATTAATTTACTCTAATCCTGCCTAAAAGGATTCCAAGTGCCGCAACTATTGAGGATTCCCCTCTGCCTTGTAACTGCACTCAAACGAACTCAAAAGGAAACTAGTTAACCAAAAAGATATTTTAGAAGATGATCTGTGAGTCACTTATACTGAATTATTTAAGAACATCTGATGGGGTAGGATTGAACATATAAGGAACATTCAAGACCTCTTTTATTCTGTTTTTTACAAACTTCTCATTTAGTTCGAAAAAACTAAAATTATCATAGCAAAAGTTTCTGTAGAGCGAAAAACAGTAATTCTGTTTTCAGTTTTTTATTAATTCACAAGTTGTCATACTAGAATAAGATATAATTAATTCATTAACGCAACATACTTTCAAAATATTTCCTTATAGAAAACCTTATATCTATCTATTTTAAAAATCAACTTTACTTTTCAATTAATTTTCTAATCAACTAATAATGCAGTTAATGTTCTTAATTCAAATTGTTATTAAGCAAAAAAAACGATGATTGTTCTCTTATGAGTATTTTTATTTGATCATAAATAACAAAATGGTTCAGTGTTATTTTATAGCCCAAATTGTTAACTTACAGGTAATAAACAGCGGAATAAAGTTAAGGTGAATGAAATTAAACTAAATAAAATTTACACGACAGTTTAAATAGTTTTTACTATTTATGTGTATATGTTTGTGGGATGTAGTATATGCATTACTTTATGAAACATACGAAACAATACAACTTAAATTATTTTGTCAAACACTCGTCTTTACACTTCAAGAACTACCGACGATACTTATTAAACACAATAAAAACGCACTATGCGAAAATCAACATGAAACACCACTTGTTGAAAGTTCCTCATTTGTTCGCTTTTCTATATCCGTATAAGAATACGGCCACTGCACCTAATATGATCCCCAGAATAATGAAGAAAAAGGCTAGGCCTATTCCAAGACCTAGAAGAACAAATAGAGAAGAAAAGAACGTGAAATTATTTAACTGACTTTAAAAGTATTGAAATCAAGTAATTACACACACCCGAATTAAATGCATTCATACTTGTCAGCTTGTTTTAGTGCGCAGGAAATCTAATCCCGGATTTTACCGTTAAAAGACTGTAAACGTATCGTTCAATTGCCAGGGTACAGATGCATTCAAAAGTAGTCCTAAATTTTTAAAAAATCATAGATATAACATTTCTTCATCAAACAAAATGTGAACAACATTTTTATAACATTACTTTCCATTTGTAGAAGCTATTGATAAATAATATTAAATGTGAAGACCTGAGCAGTCTTTGAAATCACCAAAATAAATTTTATGAAAAGAACGCCAGGGTATGTGACATGCAGGTGAAGTTGGAGCATACTTGTATTTCATACACCAATGAAATTATATAGTAAGGTTTCAAACGGATTTAACTTCTAGATTTTAATCTAGATATTCTTCAAAATGTTTTATTTTAATTTCAAAAAATTCAATTTATTTATTATCCTAGTTGTAAACCTTGTACTTAGTTTGGAGATGAAATTTGCTGAATCCTTCAAAATCGGTAAATATAACTATGTTTCATGAATATATTGACAATATTAAACAGTAGCCTTATGAGAAGCTGTTTCCCGTTTCATTTTATAAAAAGAGTTCTTCAAGCTCAAATACGGTAAACTTATCCCTCTTACGCACGTTAAATATGATGTACCAAGAAATAGGTTGATCTAGCCTTATATTATTTTGATATTATTTAATTTATGGAAAACATATAAAACAAAGAAAAGTATAGACAGTTGTGTTATTCGTGTATACGAGAACAATGTACATTTAAAAACTGGGATTAGGTAAGACGGCTTTTGCTTTATAATATTAAGAACACTTTAATAAATTAACCAATCTTCTAATAGGATATGAAGTGCCCAAGATACAAACAGTGATTGGAAGAATCTACGCACTAAAATATTCTGTGGTCTATCAGTGGAAATGATCAAGTTTAAACCTTCAATCCGAGTAGCAATGTTAATCACTGGTTGACTGAATGTGTCACTTTCCAATGTAACTCTAAGTGTTCGTGGTGACTTTTAGTTACTTATCCTGTAACCTCTTGTTGTAAACCTTAAAATACGAGCACTAAACTAAAAGATGGGCGCTCTTCTGTTAAACTCAAACTAGAATTTCTACTTGGTTGAAAAATGCCAGTAAAGAATAGTATACGTTTCTTGCAATAAAAGAGATCAAAATATCATTTTAAAACTTTTAAACATATTCTATAGATCAGATACTTAAGTTGTACAAACTAAGGAATAATCGCAACACTCACCAGTGGAATAACGACTCCCTTCACTAGACGATGGTCCTATACAGATAAAAAATATGTAAATCTTTTTAAACGTTTTCAATGCTAGAAATACATTAACAGCGCTTTACAAAAAATGTCTGCATTGTTAGAAACACCAGTCTTAACACTAGAACGTATTTCATTTCTTAATATTATAAATTGACGTTTATATACATGTGTACAAAAACGGGACTCTTTTAACTGAGTTACACATGGCAAAATGTCTCACAACTTAACAGAAAGTATCTTCGTCATCATAATTAATATTTAAATGATTTTTTTTTCTTTGACCTTCAGTGAATTATATTTCTTGAAATAATTTTGTACACCTCGACACTTTGGAATTTTAGAGGTAAAATCTTATCATAATTTTAATGGGTTTCCCTAAATTATAAGCAATGATATCAACAACATGATATGTCACAGTTTAGTTGTATATTGATGTTGTTTATGAGAACATATTAAGTAATTTTCGTTTTAACGAATATCGGAAAAGTATGTATGTCTATACGTATATGGCAATGAAAATTTTCAAAAAATTCATATTCCACTCATCTATTTTAATAAGGTGCTGAAACGCTATGTTGCCCAATATCACAAATGTTAATTGTAGAATATTACATAATAATAATAATCCGTTTTATAAGAATAAAAAAAAGATAAACTTTGAGTATTCATAATGAAAGCTATTTTAAAACAATACGTGATGTTTTGATATTCGCACATTACTCTTATTAACATTAATAAGAGTAAGATACTTACCTATTAAACGATACAACACCAACACATAACAGTGACACATATCACTCCAGTTTATACTAGACCTGTGTATGTGTTCACCAACATTAATAACATTCAGATACCTACCTATTAGACGATACAACACCAACATATATCACTCCAATGACATACTAGACCTGTGTATGTGTTCACCAACATTAATAAGATTCAGATATCTACATACTAAACGATACAACACCAACACATATCACTCCAATGATATACTAGACCTGTGTATGTGTTCACCAACATTAATAAGATTCAGATATCTACATACTAAACGATACAACACCAACACATATCACTCCAATGATATACTAGACCTGTGTATGTGTTCACCAACATTAATAAGATTCAGATATCTACATACTAAACGATACAACACCAACACATATCACTCCAATGATATACTAGACCTGTGTATGTGTTCACCAACATTAATAAGATTCAGATATCTACATACTAAACGAT